CCACATCCTGGAAAGAATATATATATATATCTTTGAGAAATGATTGACTTCTGTATGGATTTGCCAACTGACAATAGTTTAATAAGGAACACTAGTTTATTTTCTATTCCTTCTTATTTTGAGCCTTTCACGTTTTAAATCATGTTTGCTGACTGCCCAAATTAGTTTTATTTTCAATACTTTTCTTTATTAATCAAACCTTTTCATTCATGCTGAAAAATATCCCAAAAGTCATCAGAGGCTCCTTGTAACTGCCAATTATTTTTTGTTTTTTTCACAGCTGCATTCTTGAAAGGAGGCTACAATCTTACATGTGCAGTAAAGAAAAATAAACTCTGCCAAACTCTGACTCTTAGTCTGCTATGAATAAATAGTGATTTCAGCTGTAACAGGCTATAAACAATGTAAACTGTCACCACACCAGCAAAAGCACTTTCGTCTTCAGGTAGAAAAGCCAAAATTTAGGGGAAACTATGTCAGGATTGATTAAGCATCCACTACAAAGCTTTTTGCTGCATCTATGTATAGAAGTAGGTGGGTAAACGGTTCCTGCATGCAAATAGTGAGTTCTAGGTTGCAATCTCATTTATACAATACCTGCATTGAATGATGGATTATTCTCCAGTACCATTACAGCCTCCACTACAGCATCCATACTACTGCCGCCTCCTTTCAGGACTTTATATGCTGACCGTGCTGCAGAGCACACTCCTGAGGTGGACCGTTCTGAGCGCTCTTTGGGGATATGACCAGCCCCCCCATGGACCACCACGACAGGCAACATAACAGTACCCTAAAAAAACAAGTAGCGTTATGTGTTAACAATATAAATCTGGAAATGATGTGACAGTGAAATAAAATAAGAGGTTTAGCAGATTGCAGTTAACCAAAGTATTCTACAGTCAAATAGGAGGTGAAGGCTTAGTTTATGCAAACACGTCAATATTAAACCACAGGAATCATAAAAATGCAAAGAAGTGAGGTGTTGTAATGGCTCAGTCAAAGTCCAAAGGTTATCTTGAATGAAGTGCTGCAGCAGGACCTTAAAGCTGCATTATACTGAGGAATGAGTCACACTTCTCCGGAATAAGATATTGATCAGGTCACAGAGAACTTCACTTCAAATTACATCAAGTGTAATGAACCATGGCAGCAGTGGGGTTAAACAGACATGTAAATATAACAAAAAAACATTTATTTTAGTGATTCAATTCATAAAGTTATTAATTACAAAAAGACTGACACATTTTGGCTGTTTTTATCAGTTAATATAAATAATTATGGCTTAAAACAAAAAAAAAATTTCAGAAGATTTTAATTTTACACATCAATTAAAAATACGACTATACATTAGTTTCTTACTTTGAAATGAATTACCTCAATAAATGCATTTTTAGATTTCATTTCACTGCACTGAGCAGCCCAATAAATATAAAACTTAAAGCTGCACTTTGCAACAGCGGATCAACCAACACCGGCCATAAAAGGAGGATTCATGTTGCATTACATAGATCGAGAACACATGAGCACGGTTGAGAATTAGAACGAGTGGATTTGTATTTGTATTTCTTAAATCAATGAGATAATTTAGGCAAAACTAGACGGGTTAATGCAAACAACAATCTGCTGCTTCAGATGAAACCTGACCTGATTCAGTGGGAGCTTTCTTTCTGCAGATGCGACGTAATAACGACGTAATGACGACGTAGTAACTATAAATCAGCTGATGTTTACATGTACATGAAAACAGCATTCAACTCTGTCTAAAACATACGGTATATTAATATTACTACCGAATTATCGTGCCAGAATACTCCCGTGTCCTCGAAAGTAACGTTACATCCGGAACAAGACAACGACACTTTCAAAATAAAAGCTTTCTGCATCTGTTACAGCTTTTATTTTGGCAGTTTTGTTTGTGCAGGGGGAAAAAAACGCTACTTAGAGGTGTTGCAATGCTTTTAGATAAAGCTGTATGATTGGTACATTGCCATACTTTAATAAACAGAAGGAAATGAATAAATACATACATTAGTTTTCAAAAAGAGCATCTTAAAGAGCAATATTACAAATGATGTTGTACCTTTCAAAGCAATGCACATATAAATCTCTAAAATTTTATAGACGCATATGCAGCCATTTCCATTAGACTAGAATATTTTTTCTGAGCAGGATTTCTGTAAAAATTATTGAATTTTTTAAAATAATAACCTTTATTCAAGTTTTAAATATATGTTTCATTCAGCTGTGATTAAATTGTGATTATTCATAATATTTTACCAGTACCAGTATACTTTCCTTTAGCTGTGTTTGGAAAACTCATCATTATAAACAAAAAACAAGGCTTGCAAACGTAACTGTATATGGGATCAATTTATGTTATGAGTTTCTGAATTTACATGACTTTGTTTTTCCCTATTTACCTTAAGTAATTATAAAAAAGATTATGAATAATTTGTCTAAGAGACTAAGGTAACAGCTACTGTGCCAACACGTAGGCCTACCATTGTACAAAACTTATTTGGTATTACGCTCTCAGTAGAGGGGCCTTATCAGGGGCCATGGACCATTTCCACAGGGATACTGGCCCCTGTTGGCCCCTGTCTAGAACCATTTAGGGGTCTCTGTGTGCAAGAGCATTTTTTAACTCTTCATTATTTTATTAGTACTCAGCTTCACCTCAGTCTATCTCTTCTCTCGTGCCTTTCATTTGACCGAAACATGATATACAAGTATTTTTAAAGCCTAAATTACCTATCAAGGTTTCGAGAAAACATGATTTATTTCTTGACTGTTTCTGTGGCCTATAGTCGTCATAACTATCACTTGACATTTTTCTTTTTTTCTAAATACGCTTAATTTCCATGGCCCTTAATTGTCTTGATATTCAATTATTAAAATAGTCTCCTTTGTAAAAAAAATTGGTTAAAAACTCAGCAAGGTGTATTGTACAATTTATAATACAACTTGCAGCATTGCTTGTTAAAGGATAATCATAGCAATAGTACCTTTCCCCTATAGGACTGAAATCTTCAATGTATCCCTTTTCGGTTGTAAATTTCTTCTATTTTGAGTCACTTCACACAAACTAAAGCAATTAGAACCCTAACCCATTGCGATAAGGGTTGACAAGTTGCATTTCAGAGGATTCCCCAATATAGCTGCCCAAATGAGCTGACCATGGTACTGAAATTTCTTTAGGCTGATTTCAGATGGCACTTTTGATTTGTAGTCTTAGCAATGGGTAAAGGTCTCTTAATCGCAAACTCATACAATTAATAAGGATTCAATATGACCTCAGAGGTGATTCAAAATATATTTTGAGTCACTTCACACAAACTAAAGCAATTAGAACCCTAACTCATTGCGATAAGGATTGACAATTTGCATTTAAGAGGATTTCCCACTACAGCTGCCCAAAAGAGCTGACCATGGTACTGAAATTTCTATATGCTGATTTCAGATGGCACTTTTAATTTGTAGTCTTAGCAATGGGTAACGGTCTCTTAATTGCAAACTCATACAATTAATAAGGATTCAATATGACCTCAGAGGTTATTCAAAATACATTTTGTCCCTTTGAAATAAGTCACAGTCCTGGCGGGGCGGTATACCTCCTTTTAAACATTTGGTGGTGAGTTGTGACCCATTGTTTTAGGAGATGCAGTGTATAATATATCATATGTGTGTATAGGGATGTTCTGGAGAAAACTGGCTCCAGGGTATGTTTTGGTAAAGCACCTAAAACAAGATAAGGACGCAGTTTCACTTAAAAAAAAAATAAAGTCTGCTGTGTTGCTGGGCATTTTAAATAACTATTGAATTTCGCAGATTTTTTTTTCTTTCTTTTTAAATATTGTTGCATTGCGACATTTTTTCAGTTCGTATCACGAGAGCTTAGATTTCATAGATTTAATTTTCATTGATGTTGCAGAACACTAAAATCAGGTTGTCGTCCGCTTTATTCTTGACCGGGTTGCGGGGGCAGGATCGAGTCTCAGCAGAGATGCCCAGACTTTCGACACGACTCCTCCACTTCCTCTAGTAAAAGCTCGAGATGTTCCAAGGCCAGCTGAGGGACATAGTCCCTCCTTATTATAGGACTAGGTGGATAACCTCCCACGGTCCAGGGAGCATCTTAAACAGATGTCCAAGCCAGCTGACTCCTCTTGCTGGGGAGCAAAAAGGGCCAGAAACGTTTTTTTTTTTTCTCTGCAAGGAAAGAGTGGATTTTAAGGATAAATGGGAAAATTAATTCAGGGAAGTCCTGGAACACATCATCTCAAATCATGTGCACAATTTTTCTTTTCCGTCGGTATACACAATATTGAATAGCATGTTAAAATGATACCTAAATTGCAAAAATAAGTCAGAAAGTATCGCTGTACAGTCAAATTTAACAACATAATCTGTTCTGATGAGGCTCGTTTGTCAGATGAAAGTGTTGGAGGGATAATTAATTATCTATGAAACATACTTTTCGTCAAGCCGATCTACATATCTTTTCCTTTTATAAGTCTGATGTATTATTTACATCTCAAATATCCTGTCTCCATGCGCAAAACCGTCACAATAAACAGAAATAAAGGCTTAAAACATAAGTGTGTGCTTTTATGTGTGTATTGTAAACCAGATAGTGAAATAAAATGCTGAAAATAATTTGAACATTTCAAATATTTGATTGAACTTGACTAAACTCTCTGGCTAGAACTTTCTATTTCTCTTTAAAGTTGTTTATTAAACAACAATAGTTAACCGATTTAAAACATCAGATCTTAAATCCTGGGAAAATTGCAGCATTTCCCGTATGTTTACACGATCATTAAAGAGAATAAAGGGGATAATCATTCTAATTTATGTAACTTACATGACGTGTAATGTGTTTTGATTTCAGCCCATTGCTATCATTTCCCCTCTGTGGTCTCAAAGCCACAGCGCATCCTTAAAGGAACCACGTATTTCCTGTGTGTGCGCTACATGGCACCGGGAGCGCGCATCCTGACGGTGAGTGGAGAGCACCCCATTCTCAAATGAGGGCTGCGCGCTCCCGCGGTGTGGGAAGTGAGCGCGCTTGAGGGGCTGCGGTCCCATTGACGGTTCCGTCTCCCTGACAGCAGCATCAGCATCAGCAGCAGCGGCGGCGGCGGAGCTGGAAAACAAGAAGTTACCGCCTCGCCCCACAGCCAGAGGAACCGGCCGATCGGAGAGGCGCCTCCAGGGACCTCTGCTCCCCTCTGCCCGGCCACAAGGACGGAAACCGGCTCCTCTTTCCAGTGTGCCAGCGTCCCGACTGACCGCCGGAGATATGGGCTCCCCGTAAAACGGAGGTGGTGGAGGGGAGAGGCGGGCGGGTGGGCGGTGGGAGGGGGTGGGGGGTGAAGGCAGCGGAGCAGCAAGAGGGAGGCGAGGCTGAAAACGGCAACAGGAACCGAAGCGCTAAGGCCACAGTCACCGCAGCTGAGACCAACCTGGGTGCCCCCCACCACCGCCATGGGAACTCCGCATCAGCCGCTCCGACCGCCGCTCCATCCGTGGGCCATGTCGTGATCCGTGGGCTCCTCCAGCGGGTTTTTTATCCGTGATCCCGACCGAGGCGAAAGGAGGGAGGAGAGGGAAGGGAAGCCGGGAGTGAAGAAAGGTTGTGGTTGTGGTGGCAGGGAAGATGTTCGCCTCGGTGGGCCCTAGGGGCGGCCCGCGCGCACCGGCCGCTCCAGCTATCCCGGAGCCGGACCTCAGCCATCTGACCGAGGAGGAGAGGGGCATCATCATGGCTGTGCTGGCTCGGCAGCGGGAGGAGGAAGCCAAGGATGAGGCCATATTAAAGTAAGGGAGGGAAAGAGTAAAAAAAAAAAAAAGATTGAGGAAGTGTTTGTGCATTAATATCATTCTAAAGTCTACCACATCAGATCTTTCCTTGGGATGGGATGTTTCATTAGGACTTCCACACTGAATCTCTCCAAGATTGTGTGTGTAAAGTGTGTGTGGGTTCTGCTGAAAACTCCACAGAGAACTCACTGACTCACAGGCTCTTACAGACTACAGCTCTGCGCAGGAGGAACCATACATGGAGGAACCATACATTTGCAGCTCATGCAATCAGCCTTGTTTGCTTGGAAGCATGCAACTTTGATGCAAAACACAGATTCTGAGGGTCTGCCTCTAATCCAGATTTCTAAATAGAAGCAACATTTCTAATTTCCACTTCTTCTCATCTGTGTCCACCACACAGACACAGTATGTTCCTGAGTCAGGCAGTGAGTAATTGAGTAATACCTGAGGTATTCTCTGCTTTAGATCCTGCGGGTTGTTGCAGTGAGCTAAGTGAAGCATGGTATAAAGAAAAACAATACAAAAAAAAAAATAGTAAAAGTAGAATCTTCCCTCTGTTGGCTTTTATCTGTGCAGCATCCATCTCAACAGCTGCTGTTCTCAGCTCTGGGGTGCGGCTGAGCCATTCCCAGTCTTATGCACCGTATGTAGGCCAATGCTGTTGCAACAGACATCTCACAGGCTGTTACAAAAACAGTCGGCCTATAGCAGCAGTAGAAACAGTACCAGTGAAATTTGGATTTGAATGAGGACTCCCCTGCAAATCCACATAAAGTATCTGGATGTACAGATGATGTGCAGACCTGCAGTCAAACAGCTTTCTGTTCCAGGACCAGAAAAAAAAAGAAAAAAGCAACTTGAAACACAGTGTTTCTGCTCGTCGTTCATACAGGCTGCATGCACAGTTGAGCAGATAGAAAGCTAGAACGACCCACCTTAGTGAGGCGCTCCTCAAGCTCTACGTTCCTGTTCTATTTTAAGCTCACTGTACGGACTGATGGCCCGGCACTGGAACGGAAGATCGATTCCTTGCATCTAAAGAAGGAAATGTCCAATACATAGCTCTCGCTCTAAGTAGCTATGCATCAACGCCACTACTATATATTTAAGAGCCACAGATGTAGTCATGCCATAGTGTAGCAGCTGCAAAAAGAGACAGTCTCTCTGCATCAACATGTCCTAACCCATATTAGCCCCTTCACTGTTTTCTGTCACCACTTTTTAGATGGAGATCATTGTGAGAAAGCAGCATGTCTGTATGTGTGATCAGAATCGTTTCAGCATGGACAAGATGCACTGGTTGGCTCATACATGCATGCTGAACGCATTAGCTGTATGGTAGCGTGGGCTGTGATGCAGGGAGGCAGAGTTTACGCTACACTCGCTCATTTTTTATTACATAAACGTAGGGGGCTTGTTCATAGAGGTTTTCAGGTTGGTCACAGAATTGTAAGTTGTGTGACATAGGCTGCTATATTGTATATCATTTTTTTTCTGTGTGTTGTTAGTTGTGTGTTAAGAAATCAGTCCTGGATAGCTCAGGTCCTTCAATCTGTCCGAGTCAGTGACAGACCTGGCACTTTATGGAGATGTTCTTTCCTGGATTGAGGGGGGGTCTCTGGTTCTATTAGGGGCAGCTTGCAGACTATGACAGATGCCACCTCCATCTTTCATTGTCCTGCTCTTGAAACATGGCTTCACTGTCCCTCTGCCTAAGTCAGGCCTATCAACTCACCCAAAAAGCCTTACACAACCTCTGTCTGCTTGATTAGCTCAGCCGCCTGTCCCCTTTGTGCCTCCGTCGTTGAGGTTATGGTTATACAGCTGTAACTGAAGAGTGACAGCTCTCTGATGACGCGGTCTTTAGCAGCTTCTCCGTTGCAGTTGACATTGAGAGTGAGTCTTTACCCGCGACTGACATCTTAGGGCTCTTAGTACCTTACAGTCCTTAATATGAAACTTTTGGCACACCGTGTTTGGTTTGACTGTAGTTGACAGTACAGTCACACCTCGTCATTCTAAACATCAGACACTGTCACATAATCATTGCAGGTTATATTTGGTTGAAGGATTCTAAAAATGGCCCTCCTAAAACCAGCCTTACCTGTGACATAAGAGCACAGATTGAGAGCCACGGTCAAAGGATCCTTTTTTCTTCCTGCAGCCCTTATTGTGAATGAAGGGGAATTGCATGGAGTATAACTGACATAACACTGTGTCTGACAGTAGCTCTCTTTAAATTAAGGCCTTTTTCAAGCACATTGTGAATTATCACTGATGTTGATGGAAAATTATTTAAAATTCAAAATAACTTTCTGAACTTTTAGAGAAAATGTTTTGAGACTTGCTAATATTTGTTTTTGGCTTTTCAGAGAAAGCATTATTGCGCTAAGTTCTCATGTAGCAAGCCTTTTCCTTGCATGAGTGATCAGCTGTTTGTGTTGTTTGTGTCTTTCAAAGTATTTGCATAACCTGCTTCATCCATGTATCAGGACGGCATGTAATATCTATGTAGTTAACATCATAGAACATTTACAACTTTCCTGATGGGAAAGCATCCCTGAAAATCTCTCCTAAGTTTTCTCAGATATGTTATCCATGCTAGCATGCATCTTAACTTGCTCTTTATTAGTCATGCGTGTCGTCAACTTCTAAAGAAATTAGGCTTTGGATACCCTCATAAGTTCACTATAAAACAAACAAAAACATAACTACATTCTTTTTTCTTTCAATTTTAAAAGTTTGCTCAAATCTCCCATGCCAATTAGATGGAAACATAGCATCTTGATTACTGTTCTGATATGACTGTCTTTGCATCTACCTATGTCTCTCCAAAGCTACTGGTTTAAAATAGTTTTTTGGGTATTGTTGTCGTGGCTCACATCCCAGGACACCATTGTGTCGAAGGGCGGAACAAGTTTTCTCTCCCTTATTAAAATTTTGAACAAGGACTGGGTGCTACCTTATGTTGGACTCAGTGAAAGCACTATAGAAAACTGTATGTCTTCACTTCTTGGCAGATTAAAGAAGCTTGTATCTCCCTCAGGATTCCTGTTCTGCATTGCCTTTGGAACTTGGCTGTACCTGGGTAACTGTACTATGGAGACTCCCTCATCCCACAACCTTTTGCTCCTTTTTTCCTGCATTGGGGGTTAAATTTATATCTTAAACCACAAGCCCTATGTCAGCTGATATCTTTTTGATGTACGCCATTGCTGTTTCCTCCACTGTCTGAAATGAGAGAAGTACCACACATGATGTCACATACCATGTTTTAGGTATATTGATGCTCATTTCAATGTTTATGAAAGGACTGCACTAAACGTCTTCCGTTCCCTCTGATAGTATGTATATATGAGATCTGTGCCGCTCATTAGTGTAATTTGAAGCAATATAAATGGGCCAACTGATCAACTTATGCAGGATACCCCTATCTTAAATTTAATGATTCAAAATATCAGCATGTGTATAAACTCTTAACACATTTACACATTTTGGTGGATCAATATGAATCACAAACACAGTACATTTTTTTTTACAGTTTATTCTTTGGCTTTGGAACTGTTTTATTGGTGGTTCCAGGGGTATTCCTGCAAAATTAGCAACCAGTGTAACTTACTTGTAACTTATAGTTTGTTCAAGTTTTATAAACTCCCTGTCGAAAGTAGCTCAAAGTGTTTCATAATGAGTGAGTGGGGTACCCTCAGTACTGACAATGAAAACACACGTCTTGTGTTTTAGAGAGCGTGGGTGTTGGCAGGGAAATCTCTCTTGTGTTCCCTCTGTGATCTAGACTAATCAGAGCGCGCTACTCATGTTTATTAATGAAATCGCTTTGAATCAGTGTGTGTGTCGATGGACATATTGAGATCAGTTGGTTTTTGGGCCTGTAACTGACACCTGAAAGTCTTTGAGCATTGCTATAAGATCAGATAGAGTCTGTTTAGTTTGTTTCTTCATAAAGGACTTAATATCACCTTTAGTAAATAAGCATTGTGCAACATCTTGTTGGAAAAAATTAGCTAACTTTGTAATTTGTGCATAAAAATTGAAACAGGCACAATGTAAAAGGAGAACATATGTTTTCATTACTCAGAAAAGGTATGTTCTTACAGACATAAACATTTCCATCCCATTTAAAAGTGTAGAATATGGAAAAGTGAAGAAGAATGTAAGAAGTAAAAGGTGAAGAGCTGTGTTTTTGTCAGTATAGAAATGACATCTACCCTAAATTTTAAATGTATTAAAAGTTAAATTGACAAGACTAAAAGTCAAACGGTCATTTCAGTCTGAAAGTTTAAAAAGAAACTTTTTTGAAAAATGGAAAGGTAAATAAATGTCTACAGTGATTTAGAAAAAAGCCTCCTGTTTATCAGAATGGACATCTTAATAAATGAATGTGATTAAAAACTTAAAGCTGATATTATGGCCTTATTTGCAATTGGTTGTACATAGAAGAAGAAACAATTCTAGCCACAGTTAGGAGGCAGTTCCTGTCTAAATGCGGCAGAAGGGTAACATGAAAAGTTGTGTTATCAACAGCAAAGAAAAGATGCTTCTACATGTAAAGTCGGTTTATGTTAAATGTTAATGGTCAAAAAGAAATCAAGAAGCAAGACATCATTGGCTGAAAAGAGCTCCTTCATTCAGAACGGATATCAGAGCAGAGCTACTACTCCTCCACATCGATAGGGTCAGTGTCTGTGTATTGATGTATGAATGTGGCTGAAAATAGAAAGGTGAATACAGGTCTCATTAGCAACATAGAAAATAAATGGAAAATAATACCGTGTTTTAGGACTTGGAAGGAAAAGCACAAGATTTTTTTGTTGTGGTTGGAAAGATTTGGATGAAATAATTGGGCTCAGTTAATTATTATGCGCTATAGATGGAGTAGGATAAAAATATGTAATTGGTTTAAGTTTTCACTGAGCCTTTTTATGCAAAACTGAAGATCTGTGTCCAACTTTTGTTGAGCTTCAGTTTTCTACTAAACAGTTGCCATAACTGTGTTTGCTATATTTGTGTTTTTCAGAGAGGAGAAGCCGATTCAAGCGAGGACAGTGAACCTGGTCGGACAGAAGAAGCCTCAACAGCAAAATGACGTCAGGTATGTGGCAGAACTTCTTTAGCTAAAGGCTTTTACGCACCTAACTGATGCTCTGCTGTAAAACTTTGCACCTCAGATGAATGGATCATGATTCCTGTGCTGTGATGGTTTGATATGAATAAATATACCCCTAGTTTTATGTTGGAGACCTAAGCTGCTGCTTACAAAGATCCTGAAAAAGCTGCTCTTCTGTTTTCCTCCTGTAAGTAATTATTTGTTAGTTGCTGTCCTTCCCCTTTTAGACAGCGTCTGCTGAACCTGTCTTGTAGAAATGGACACAGTCAGTGTGTTTAGACTAGTCCTGGTTCTGATTATTTGCAACGACAAGCTGATACCTTCCTGTAAAGATGTGGATTGAGAACTGGCCTTGTTGTTAGTTTTGCAGCAAAGAAAAAAGAAGAACCTGGTTGTGATGTTTGCTCACAACTACTGGTACTTTACATCTTCACATATAGCATTAGGTATAATTAAAAATTCTTAGAGGATCAAGTGAATGTTGGGCTGTTGGGTTATACTACATACAGTAACTCGCCAATATGAATCATTGGCACTATTTGCAGCAAAGATTTTTAACTTTTAGTGTAGATTAGAGCTGTGCTTGCCTAGGCTAGCCTTTGATTCAGCTTTTATTTATTTTACAGCAACAACAACATATCTAGTCTTGCTTTTTAACCAGTGGGGGTCTCCAAAAGGTTTTAAGATTGGGTTCAAAATCAAAAGCTGTAACAGAATTTCAGAAGTTTGTATGATGCTGTTTTTATTTTTATTTTTATGAGTAAATAAAAAGAAACCTTTTTGGTAACTTGTTCTCTCCTCACTGCATGCTATAATGACTACTGATGTAAGGTGGCTAAAAGCAATAATCTCATACCATATATTTGTTGTTTACCTTGATGTTTTAGTTTTAAACGATCCTTTTATAAAGAGCCAAAGTTTACATATGTATCTATAAGCTGCCATTTCCATATTCCAAGATTATTTGGGGCTGTAGTATTTAAAAAAAGAAATGATATGTTTATCAAGCCGACTCTTAAGATTGAAAATTTCCATTTAGGCAAAGGGACGTGAAGTTTTCTTGAAGAGGTACACTTCAAAAAGGCAAGTTGTTCTTAAATCAAACATTACAAAACTATAGGACCCCTTTTTCAGTTTAGCAGACATAACTACTTAGGGCAGTTTTCCATATGGGCAATATGGCTCACTGCCCAGGGCACCATTCTTTGAGGGGGAATCACAAAATTTACTTAGATTTTCTTTAGGGACTAAGCTGAACTTTTCCTGTTTATCTACAATCTCCGCTAATGACGCTGTATTGCTTTGAGGTTCACCTTCTCTAAGAGAAAGTCTCCATCTTTACTCCAATTAGTAGAGGTGGAGGCCTGCTGTTTTGGTCAGAAGCAATTATTTATTAAGGACCCACTCAGTGACTCTATCCTTTACCACTGATTGTACACACTTATGTAAGTCAGTTTTTATATCAGTGGTCACTAATAAAAACTGGATTCTAAGGCAATGGTTTAAATAAAGTTTTTTTGTTCAATGATGCAGATTTGTTTGAACTCCCTTTTAGCTCATGTCTGGATTGAAATACATATTCCTTTGTGTTTTCTAAAGTGAGTCTTTTGGCCAAAATTATGATTTTTTTTTTATGTTCGATTAGACTCAAATACTTATTGCAACTTAATATTTCTCATTAAACTAGTTTGAACTTGAAAAAAGATACAGCACATTTGAAATGCATTTTAAAATAAAACTTATTCTAAGGATGGAAATTATTTGCTCTTGATAGGGCATACAGACAATAATGCTGATCTTTATCTTTAATTCCACACATAGAGTTTTCCGACAGTTTTGACCTATTTTTTGCTGCCAGTGGGTTTTAATTTCTGCAGATGTCATGTTTTAAGAGTCTGTATTGAACTCAATTTAGAGTTCAATGAAATACTAGATGAGTTGATTTATCAGGGTTGAAATTCAGAGTTAATCTCATCATGTGGTTTCTATTTTATTTACTTACTAGAAGCTTTCTTTATTTTTGTGGAATGGTTCGCTATGTTTCTGCTGGTATTCCACAAAAGCAACGTTTTAAACAGCTCACTGAGCTGCAGCCTGGAAATTAGGTTATTATGATGGTGCATGAGATTTTATGTTTATTAGTGTCCTCCACAATTACAGACAGGCCTTGTAACAAAGTGCAACAACCCTTAGAATAACTAAATCATATTTTATTATTGGTAGAATAACCTCATTCAGAACGTTAAAAAAACGAAAAATAAAATAATGATTGCTTCTATTTACTGAGGAAAATGTTCCACTTTTTTTTAGTGGTTCTAGCGCACTACAGCAGTTCTTGTTGAAAATGGCAAAAAAGACCAGAGATCTTATATTTCTTCGTATGCAGATGTTTGTTAATCTGCATGAGCCAGGAACGGAAATGACTGGATTGTTAGAAATGTGTAAATTTACATATTATATAGAATGGATAGACCGTGACGAAATATTTTGAACTTTATTTGTAGTTCAAACACTTTTTAATTCCCAAAGAAGGGATCCAGGAAGAATTTCCATTGAAAGTAACTTCCAATGTACAGAAGCTTTCTTTCTCTGAATGAGTGCAGGGCTATGTTTGTTTTTCAGCCACCTTTTTTTGATTGCAGTACTGGCTGTGTAGTTTATTTATTATTTTTTTATTGTATGCCATTGTTGATGTTTTTGTCCAACAAAACAGTTTAGATTAGAATGTTGTAAAAATTTGTAAAAAACAAAACAAAACAAAAAAAAAAATCCTTTTTTGTTTTTTTAAATTAGCCACTTAGATAGGGGTGTTCCACTCTAAATATATAGGACTAAATTTAAAATGTTGACATAAGCAGGCTGATAGAAACATAAAAGGTATAGTGGAGGATTTTCGCAAATTTTTGAAAAGACCCTCCCTTTCCACTTTTGAAAAAAATACACATGTACAACATGTTCTCCTTGTGCATGCTCTGTTTAAAAGTTTTTGTTTGCATCATTCATACAAGCTTACTTTCCAAAAGAAGATTTGCAATTTTTCCACTATGTCAGATTCACCACCGGTACGTAAAAATGGGGATGAGCACGTAGGACGGCCTTACGCAAACATATCACCAGAATGATTGACAATTCGGAGGACCACTAACTTTGATGATCCACACAGTAAAAAGAACATCCTCCACTATACTTTAAGTCTTTTCAAATGTTTCACACTACAAAACAAGGAATTCAAGTATGTATGAGACATGTTGATAATATATCGGGCCGATATAATGGTTAGGACACAAACTGCAATATTGGTATTGAATTGAAAATGAAAAACTTTAATCGGGACAACCCTACAATTTGATACGTGAACACAAGGCCAGGGAAAGATATAGTTGTAATCAATAACTGGAAAAAACTTGAAATGCTTTAAAAAAAAAAAGCATAGTACAACAACAGTAATTAACTCTCGCTATGCTTGTTGCCAAAACATGATTATTGAAACAACAAACATGAGAGTTGGTTCTAATCACCAAAGGAAGGAAGAACAATCCCCAAAGATCATGTGACCATTTTTTATTTACTTTAGTCAAACCGTTTACTTTTTTTAAGGTTAGAAAAATGTCCAATTTGTTTTGGATGATACTGTTTAAAATTAACCTTAAATTAAGAGAAAGTTAATTGAACCAGTTTTTATCTTTTAATTTTTTTTTTACCTAAATCGAATTTGTTAGCCAACTGTACAGCTGCTATGACGTCTCCAGACAGGACATTGGAACTGACCTTTCTTGGGGGACTTGTACTGGTCTTGGGTGAAGAGAATCGACACATCTTAGTCACAGACTTTTTAGGCTCTTAACTTCACACAGGCGTTACAGAGCATTATTTGCAAAAACGAGTCACCTGAAAAGCAGTCTATTTAATGAGCACAATGAACACCAGACAGCCAGAGTAGTCATCTACTCTGCTGGGAACAAGTAAGCATATTTGCACTATCACACACCCACACACATAAAAAATAGGCCTCTACGCAAACATCTACGTACTCCTGCTTATCCTTTTATTTCCTTTATAGTCTTTTACTCATTTAACCAACGATCAAGCGTAAGGGATGAAACTAAAATCAAATTCCTTATTTGGGCACCAGACCTGGCCCCTAAATTTGATTCTGATTCTGAGAAGTTGCTGATATGATTTGTTGAATAAAACTGGTTACAAATATGACTAAGAAATCATTTAGGAAAAATGTTTTGTAAAATGTTTTTTTTGGTCGGATTTTATAGGATTTATCTTTGATTTATATTAAAATACTTACAATTACAACAAAATAAACAATTATACAAATTCAGTATACTATTTACCAAAGCTAAAGTTTAGATATAAGACTAAAAGAGTTTGTTTATTAATTACACTTATCATAAAAATGGAAGGAATCTCATATTTTGAACTTTTCTAAATATTACTGTAATATGTGTGGCATTGTTGCAAAAACCTAGTCTGTTTTAGAGGTAGAAATCCATCTGGATTTAATACAACCAGTTACATATTTTGCAACCCAGTTATATGTAATTTCTCTATACTTTTCACATTGTTGCAGAATCAGGAGCAAATCAGATGTTTATCTCCTTCACTATATGTTGCATCTCTCTGCGTATTGCTCGAGGTCTGCTAATGATTCACAGACAAGCTTCATAATGTGTAAGAGATAATGTGGGCAGCAAAAACCTGGATGCTAATGGCCATTTCCTGCCAAACATTTGTCCAGCTGATCGGCACAGTACAGACAGAAGCAGACCTCTTTTTATCTGGTGACTAAGCTGTTGGCAGCCTGAGAGTCCAAAAGAGAACACGGCTTGTTTTAAACTTCACCCCTGTGTACTTTTAAGACTTAATCTCTGTGGATTTTCAACTTTTAATAAGACCAAAACTTCTACAACATTGTGAGAGTGTAGGACAACATGTGCTACTTTAGCTGCAGCTTATCTCCATAGCTTTGAAAG